CATGTAAACTTTATCGTCACATGTGAGAAGCAAGAATGTGCTAATTGCCAAATCACTGTAGTAGACCTTTCGGTTTCCAGTTCCGTCTTTTACGTCCCACAAAACCGTTCAGATTTGATCACTTCTTGTTTGACTTTCAAACTAACCTTCTGTTCCGTTTCTATATCTTCTCGCGAAGGCCTCAATCTCAATTTGGCGCAAACACACACAGACTTGCGCGGTTTGGGCGGGTGGTGTTTGGATTAATTTGATCGTTGGATTACAATTTGTGCCTTTTTCGTCCAGATTCACCGATTAGATACAGTCAGCCACCTGCTGCACAATGTTTAACAAATATTCCTTTGCCAAATCTGTGTTAATGTCTCTACTGGCACCGTGTGTATTTCAGTTTCTGAACCTGCTAACAACGAAATCACGAACACATTCCTCGCGTAGATTATCTTCTGATGTCTCGGTTATAAGTTAGAGTTGTGTGTGTGTTCTGTTCCAGTGTTGAAGAGTTATCGTTTTATGACCAATTGTGTACGCTCATCCGTCGCCTATGTATGAACGTTGAACATAACTATCTTCCTCAAACAGGCCGAACAACAAATTTTCGAACAAATATGGCGTAAAGAAGGCAACCGGGTTCATTTTTTTTCTGGGACGAGAGGCTGTGTGCATGTGTGGGGTTGAACTTGATCGGTTACTGCCGCGGTAGGTCGACAGTTACGTTTAGAGGTTTCCTGAACACACTGGTTGTTGGCACTTGAACATGCCTTGAGAACACAAAAATGGATGGAAAGCGTTTCAACCGAGTAGCATGTGCTGACTTATGTAGTCATAATTAAGCTGAGTTTAAATTCTAATCTACGCAAAAATCGCCTACATTGCATTTTAGATACCGATTCCCGGCGAATTCGGTGCGATGCTTTCCCGTGCGTAAACAGAATCTGGCTTGTAAGAGAGCGCGATTCGTACGCACCGATGTAGACCATTAATAATTGTTTGGTGATCCTAATGCCTTTCTCTATTGTCCGTGAGACCACCTGGTCTTCCGTTGTAGATTATCTACACCTTTTCCCATCAAGCTTTAGCCAAAATTTGCAATCCTTTAGCCTCAACCCGTAATCCTTCAGTGAAAACGCAAAATGCCTTAACCAGGACCCGCAATCCTTCAACCTTGACCTATATTCCTTTATTCCAAAACCAGCAATGCTGTCTACGTCGCATTGCACGAGTCTGGTGGGGCAACTGGACGAGCTATGTTAACGTTAGGCATAGAGTTTTAGTTTATCGCGGTCGTCCACTGGATCAAGTAGTCTACCTTCATAGATTACACTGGATGGGACATGTGCTACGCATGTCCCCAGGTAGGCTGCCACGGAGGGCGATGTTTACCAAAGTAGATAGCAATTGCAAAAGGATCAAGGGAGGTCAAACTAAAATCTGGCAAGAGGATATGAAAATCCTAACCAGGTAGCTAGGTCACACAGGTCCTGTTAGGCTCCCTGGCTGGGGACCCCGAGATCATGGTCACCGATGCTTAGAGACACAGTGATATGGCTGGGTGTCGCAAACGAATGGGCTCATACATGTACTCATTATTATTATAACATCAGTCTGTGCGAATTTGCTATCTTTCGCTTGAATTTGCTCTGAATATTCCAATCTTCATTCTAATGTTTTATCCAAATGGGCAACTAACAGCCAGCAACGAAAACCGGCGCACGAAAATGCATGGTTAATGGTGAGAGAACTGAACTGAACTAAATATAGCGCTGTAAAAGAATCTGATCAAGAAGTATTGGAATATTCTGGGATTAAAGAATGTGGAAACATTTCATGTTCTACAAATGTTGATATTGCAAAGCAAATAAGAAGATGCAGGGGTTGCATGCTGCAACATATGTTGATTGGAGAACGTATCCGTATAACGGTGTTCTAAAAGGGGTCTTCTGTATACAGTGTTTATTATCCTAGACCTGTTAATATATCCACATTTCAAGAACAGAGCTCACTTTAAGTGGATATACAAAACGGTAAGCATATACCTTTTCATTTATTTCAGGGCTTGTGAGTACAAAACAATGTATCGTTTGAGTTACAGTTGAGATTTTCACTCCTGGGGGTATCGCATGTTTTACGGGAACATTGAAGCTGTGTACGAGATGTGTCAAATGATGTGACGAGACGGGCACATCGGGTTTTAACTAAAGCTTGATGGTAAAGGGTGTATACCTGTTTCAGCCGAATAAGACTCCGTACTCCTGCTCTTGACTACCAGTATTAGTGCTGTACTCAACCGTGGAGTTTTTGCGATACTGACCACAATTTACCGGTTTACCAAAAAATGAATCATGCGGTCATCCGTCTAGTATGTTTTACACTGANTCCCAAGGACACGGCGGCAGCCTCGAAACACAACAACCATACTCTCCTTCACCTCACTGGTTTTTATCATATATGACTATTTTTCTAATATCACGTACTATGAATCTGGTATTACGTCATTCAAGATGGTTAGTTATTTGGACCGAGACGCTCTTATACATGCGCATAATCTGCTAGCTGTTCACAAACAAGAAAGTGGTGGCAGTAAAATCGCTCAGGCATATGAATACTCTCTTCAAGGCTAAATCCGGCTCTCGCGCACATTAACGAATCTGTACGCGATACAGTGGATAGGTAGACTGCAGTCTCCGTAAATTAACGAGGGGTGCTCCCTAGCACAACATCAGCTGATCCTGGACGAGACACGCGTTTTTGTCTAGATCATTCTAATTAGGTAGGTCATAGGTATTCACGAGTATAGCTGAACAAATCTGCCCCGTCTCCCGTTGGACAAACT